TTTTCGATTTTGACTCTCGAGATTAGAAAAGAGAAAGTTTCACACATTCATATATTTTTTTCTTTGCACTGAGTGGAATCGATCAATTTTTGGGTCTTGATTTTTACTAAGTTAGGTGTTCAATTTGGGGATATCTTGGAAGGGGAAGTGGTGGAAGAAGAAGAAATGACAATATTGACGGAGGAGAAACGACGCGTCAGTGGCAATTTTGTAATTTACAGAGTTGACCAAACGGCGTCAAAGTCAAAATTGACAAAAGTTGAAGGAAAGGGCTGTATTGGGAAATTGTACAAGTACAAGGGGGTAAATCGGTGAAATTGAAAGTACGAGGGGGTAAAGTGGTTCTCAAGCAGAGTACGAGGGGGTAAAGTGGAATTTACCCGCAGAAAAATGGTTAAAACTTATGATTTATTAATTTCAAATAGTTTTACCACTGTGAAAATCATGTTTTAAGTATATGCTATGATTACTTTTTTCTGTTACATAAGCTGATATTTTTTTAAATTATAGTAATTATAGTAGGTGATATATAATCAAATTAAGGAAGTTGTTAAATTTAACGAGTATCTTTATCCTTAATGACATATGTTCATTGTATAAACATCACATTTGAATTTAATAATTACAAATTATGCGAGAAGTGTAAACTGCAACGAGCGAGTTATTTTTGACAATCTGGATCTGACCTAAAAAATATTTAACAAGATGATTGAATTCGATTTTTTAGACATAATTGAATTTGGTTCGTTAGATGCCACACTTTCTTTACTCCACCAATTAGGTCATCCTTAAGAACGTCGTATTCTCAAATGTAATACTTGAATATTTTGATCTTAAATAAATATAGTTTTAACGTATTTCTAATTTAAGTTTCCGAGTTTTATGGCTCAAAATTATAGACATTATATATGTTTTATGTGATACATAGGTAAAATATATTTTGAATTTAAATTTTTGGCATTCATCACAACTTTGTTATCTTTAAACTTTTGTCTAAATATATATTGTATAAAGATCTTTACAAATTTATTAGTGTAAAGAACACGAAAGCTCATAATACATTCTTTATATTCTTTTAGTGTTCAAAAATTTTATTTGGCTTTTATTTCTATTAAAATTATATGATTTAACACACCCCCTTTGAAGCTTAATTAAGACATTTGCATCTTTGTTAAAAAATCATCCGTTCAAGATTATTCGGTGTATTTCATCGAGTGCAATATCAACAAAACAAATCACACACTTCTATTTTAATTTTGTTTCTTTTTTTAAAAGCTACATTGCGGCCTATTCCCGGGAAAATTATAGTTTTTATTCCTCAAGTTTGCACATATTTCACATTTGATCCCCAATGTTCACAAAAAAACATATTTGGTCCCTCACGTTTCAATAATTTTACGCTTTTTGTCATTTCTGTCAATTAACCATTAGTATGTCAGCTAAGTCATTGATGGACACACACTTAATTTCGTTGATTTTAATGAAAAAATGACGAAAAAAAACTAAAAAAGTTGAACTTTTGAAACAAAATGGACCAAATATATTTTTTGTGAACATAGAGGACCAAATATGAAATCATTGCAAACGTGAGGGACTAAAACGGTGTTTTTCAACCGTCTATTCCCCTAAAACCTCAACGGGAAAAAAATAATTAATTAGCCCAAATTCCTTAAAACCATTTTTCCCTCATTAATTACACCATCAGGTCTTTACTCTCTTCTTCTTCCCCACTCTCTCTCCCCACTCCCCAACACTCTCTCTCTCTCTCTCTAGCTTTCTCTCTCTTCAACACTCAACACACACTACCAACAATGGCGGCACCACCACCAGCCCAGAAACCGAAACCAAAACCAAACCCACTACCCGCCGCCGTGTTCCTCTTCCTCCTCCACTACGCCGCCGCGTCAGACAACCACCCCGACACCCAACCACTCCTCACATTCAAATCCACCGCCGACCCAAACGGCGCCGTACTCACCACCTGGAACTCCTCCTCCGACCCATGCAGCACAACCGCCGCCGCATGGGTCGGAGTCTCCTGCCTCCGCAACCGGGTCGTCCGTTTAGTCCTCGAGAACTCAAATCTCCAAGGCCCCTTCCCCACCTCCCTCACCTCGTTAACCCAACTCCGGGTCCTCAGCCTCAAGCAAAACGGGTTCTCGGGTCCGATTCCGGATCTCTCCGCCCTCACCAGCCTCAAACTCCTCTTCCTTTCCCACAACCGCTTCTCCGGCGGCCTCCCTAACTCCTTATCCTCTCTGTCGAAACTCTACCGCCTCGATCTGTCGTACAACAATTTCTCGGGGAGCGTGCCGTTGCCCGTAAACCGGCTGACGCATCTGCTGACGCTGCGGCTGGAAGAAAACGGGTTCGCCGGACCCATTTCGGGTCTGAACTTGCCGAACCTGCAGGATTTCAATGTCTCCGGAAACGGGTTCACGGGCCAGATACCGGGCTCCCTTTCGGGCTTCCCCGGTTCGTCTTTCTGGAGCAACCCGGGTTTATGCGGGCCGCCGTTGGAGAAATGCAAGACGGTTTCGACCAACCCGACCCAGCCCGGCGGTGGGGCAATGGCCTCCCCGCTGAGCCCGACTGTTTCTTCCTCCCCCACCGCAATTCCGGCGGAGACGAACCCTCCCGGAAAATCCGGAAGCAGCCACCGGAGTAAAATCAGCTCCATTGCCATAATCGGGATAATCGTCGGAGACGTATTGGTTCTGGGATTGGTTTCGTTGCTTCTGTATTGCTACTTCTGGAAAAACTACTCTAGTAAATTAACGAAGCCCGGAAAAAGCAGCGGTTCATCCCAAGTGGAGAAGATAGTGTACTCGTCCAGCCCGTATCCGAACCCGACCCAATCCGGGTACGAGAGGGGCAAAATGGTCTTTTTCGACGGGGAGAGGAGGTTCGAGCTGGAGGATCTATTGAGGGCCTCCGCGGAAATGCTGGGGAAAGGCGGATTCGGAACGGCGTACAAGGCGATCCTCGACGACGGGAACGTTGTCGCGGTGAAGAGATTGAAGGATTTGAATGTGAACGGGAAACGAGAGTTCGAGCAGCAAATGGAGGTTTTGGGGAGGCTTAGGCATCCGAATTTAGTCGGATTGAAAGCTTACTACTTCGCTAGGGACGAGAAATTACTCGTCCACGATTACATGCCGAACGGCAACTTGTTTTGGCTGCTTCACGGTAAGCAATTTTCCGACCTCGGTTTTTTTTGCTGACGTGTTGTAATTAATTGAAAAGTATGGAGCTTACTTTTTTAAGACATGGGGTCTGGTTTTTGGAGTATAAAATTATTGAGTGTGGGGATAAAATCGTGTTAAGTGATGGCATGTTGTCACATGGGGGTTCTTGATTTAATTTTATTTATTTTTAATCGTTCGTTTGTTTTTACTGCAATTTATATGCTTAGCTTGTTGCATGTGTAGAGTCAAAGACTTTTTAGTCGAAACGCCAATTTGGTGGTTGAATTCAAAGGGCCCGTTGTTTTGTTTCGAAAAGTAGTGGACTTAGTATAGTGGAAGATGATGCTACTGCCATAGTAAACAATATAAGTAGCAGCTCTAATGTTTGGTTTAGTGTGCGCACGTGCGGCGGTGGGGGGTAGAATTGTCATATTCGAAATTGTTTTTTTACTATAATCATTTCGTTTCTTAGCTTCTAGTTGTGCTTTGTTTTACTTATGGTCCTAAACTTTTGCTGAAAGTAATAACCTTTACCGGGTGTGTCGCAGTTCGATAACTATCTCTTCTCTTAGGCTTAAGAAACGGGAATCGAAGATCATCTTCTTTCGTATAATTGCGAGATTTTAATTTAAAAAAATGTGTTGGCAAATCGGGATGACAAGAAAGGCACACTATATCTTATCTGCTTTTGTTTCACTTAGTTAGGACCACTGTCTACCACATCAACCATACTGCATTCATTACTTGCAGTTATGTCAGTGGCCCGAAAAACAAACATCTGCGTTTTCTTGCTTCTGCTAAAGAATGTAATGTGTCTACTTTTTTTTAACAGGCAACAGAGGCCCCGGTAGAACTCCGCTAGACTGGACCACGAGGCTCAAAACAGCAGCGGGTGCCGCCCGAGGGCTCGCCTTCATCCACAAGTCATCGCCGCCGCTCAAACTAGTCCACGGCAACATCAAATCGACAAACGTACTCATCGACAAATCCGGCACCGCCAAACTCTCCGACTACGGCCGGTCCATGTTCGCCACGTCAGCATCCTCGTCCGCCCCAAAATCCAACGGCTACCGAGCCCCCGAAGCCGCCCTCGACGGCAAAAAGCTGACCCAGAAATCCGACGTGTACTCGTTCGGCGTACTGTTACTCGAGCTCCTGACGGGAAAGTGCCCTTCGATAGTTGACAGTGCTGGGCCCGGGCTGGGGTACAGTGGGGTGGTGGATTTGCCGAGGTGGGTCCAGTCTGTTGTGAGGGAGGAGTGGACCGCTGAGGTGTTCGATTTGGAGCTGATGAGGTATAAAGATATCGAAGAGGAGATGGTGGGGTTACTGCAGATTGGAATGGCGTGCACTCAATCTTCGCCCGAGCAGAGGCCGAAGATGAACTATGTTGTGAAGATGATTGAGGAGTTGAGGGGTGTGGAGGTTTCGCCCTCGCACGAGAATCTTGATTCGGTTTCCGATTCGCCTTCCGTGCTTTCTGAGGACACGTGCAGAGCTAGCGAATGATGATTGGATGCGGTTGATTTCTAGATTTAGTAGATTGTTGATTTTCGTATTATATTTGTCCAAGTTTTTTTGTGTGTATTTTTTTCTTGAGTTTAAGTTTAGTTTTTTTAGTTGGTAGTTGGTAGTTGGGAGTTGGATTCTTGAAATCTTGGACAATGATGTGAGCTATTGTTGAATTTACAACTTCATCTGTGTGTGTGTGTTTTGTCATTGTAGATTAAATTAACTATAAAACTCTACAATAGAACCTCGATAAATTAAGAACCTCGATTAAATAATAGTTTTTCTCAGTCTTGACTCGGTGAAAATGCGTTAAATTATTAACTTGATAATTTAATAATTCGGTAAATTAATACAATTTCCCTGGTTCCAACTGCATTGGTTTATGGAGGTTAAACTGTAGTTTGAGAATTATGACACAACATTGTAAGATCCAAGCATATATCTAGGGATTGAAACCTAGTAATTTAGGGGCAATCCTAAGCAAAGGTTGCAAAGTAGTAGGATGAAACTTTCTTGCAAAGAGGGAGCAAATTGATCTCATCTCCCCATTGTAAGTACAATTAAATCCACTCCGAACACGATCCAAAAACTCTTCGGTGACATCGTTTCTCATAAACATCCTAGGATGGGACCCACCTTCGGACCAATCGGTCCATGTAACGGTCCGATTCGAAGTCAAATTAGGGCAAACTTTGTTCACCAAAGTTGGCAAGTAGTGTTCATCCATATAACAAGGTGGCAAGCAATGGTTTCTAAAAATTGGGTAGTATTCGACGTCGGATATTATTGCTATTGCGAGTTCCCTATTGGCCTCAAACCATTGTGACCCTTTTCGCCAGTCGGATAAAGAGATTGCGGGCCCCATGCGTTTGTTGTAGCGGCCCCGCCCGATCGGGCGGGGATCGTCGAAGGTGCTTAGAAAGCTTTGGTTGGAGTTGATAAGGTAGTTGTAGATGGTGGAGAAGTTGAATAGAGGGATGCACGTTTCTGATAGGAGTACGAATCTTTGGTTTGTGAAGTCGAGAAGCGCGTTTGCGAGAAGGCGCCTTTCTGCGTCGATCATGCTTGGTCTTCCCCACTGAACCAACTGTTTAAAGAAAAATTAAATAAATAAATCATTGATGTAGAATGTGCTTCACTCTAGGTCTCGATTAGGGGGTTGGAAATCAAACGGATCAGATTGGAAATAGTACTTTAAAAAAATCAATTTTTTTTTTCAGATGTGGAAAACTTTCAATTCCATTAAAAAATCGAAAAAATGGGAAAGCGGAATTTCGGAAAATGGAACGAAAAAAATTGTTCCAAAACTGGAAAAAATTTCGAATCGGGAATCGGTGGAATTTGGAAATTCCAAATTTGTAGTCACCTAATACAAAATACATACTAATATTGATATTATAAGTGTTATTTTCATAAAATAATCGGAATTTCGGGAAATATTTCCTAAAATGAAATCGGACTGAAAATTGAAATCTAATATTGTTCCGATTCCATTAAAAAAAATCTAATTTTAAATCGGAAGTATCTATTCCGACTTCCATTAAAAAAGACGAAAAAAAATCAGAATCAGAACGTTCGAAATTCGGAATGAAAAATATTGTTCCAGAATCGAAAAATTTCGGATTAAAATTAGATGTAAACACTGGTGGTGCCAAATGCAATAAACCCTATACATATAAATTCCAATATGGGGGCGGCTATTTGCAATACCATTTTTTGCTTATAAGTCACAAGCATTTGTGTGTGTGATCTTGTGTTCCATTAAGGGTAATAGTGTGATTTGTTTTGGGTGGTCTTACACTAAGCAAAAAATGGTATTTCGAATAGTCGCCCCTTTCTAATGTGTGTGTACCTTACTAGGTATTCTGCGCTTGTAGAAAACGGAAGACTCCGGTGGCTCGTAAGTGAACTCCGGCAAGGTATGAAGGTAGATTGAGAAGAGGCCTTCGTTCCCTTTAAAGAACATCTCCCAAAGTGGCGCCAACGGTAGTTTCCCCCTAGTCAAGAACATGAACGCAACTTTCGGCGTTCGATTGAAAGGAAAATCGAGTATACGAGGAACCAAAGACGCCCTCCACATTAATTCTCGATCGCTCATCGTATGCCAAACATCTTTCGGAGAAATCCATTCTTCGAACGACCTGTTTGAAGTAGTGTTGCACTTTTGCGTGCATCGTTGTGTTGGAGATTGAGAGGGAGTGAATATTTGTGGAGGAAAAGCGTTTAGAGACGAGAAGGATAGATCTTCGTAAATAACGTATTTTTTGAAGTGGTCGTTGATTACCATACCTAGGACCAAGACGAGAAATGCAATCGATAGACAGAAGACTATGGTTGTAGCGATTTGGAATCTTCCATCTTTTGCTTCTCTTTTGATGCGTATGGAGAGTTCTTTTACATGCATTGTTTTTTTTTTTTTTTTTTTTTTTTTGGGGGTGTGTGTGTTTTCTTTCTTCTGGAATATGCATTTCATATTAGTATGAACAAGCTGAATGGAAGATCTTGCACAACAGCACAAACCCCCATGGGAAGTATTTGCATAAACAAGAATGGTGTGTGTATTTGTGTGTGTGTGTGTGTGTGACACACAGAGATAGAGAGAGAGAGAGAGAGAGAGAGAGAGAGAGAGAGAGAGAGAGAGAGAGAGAGAGAGAGAGATGATGAATTGATGATGGTATGATTGAGAAGATTATTTATGCTGCAAAAGTGATAAGTGGGGGATGCCATGCAGTCTCATGTGTTGTAGTGGTGAAAATTGCATGTTTCAAAGCTAAGGTAATCATCAATCTGCTAAGTGGCTGTTTGGCTAAGCTTATTTAAAACATCTTATAAACTTATATATATCTTTTAAGATGTTTTTAGGAACTAATAAGCTGGTAGATCTTATTTCATAAAATAAATTTTCAAGTGTTTGGATATAGAGTTTATAAGCTATTTGAGTGTAATTTTGCGTTTGAAGTGTTTTAGTAAATGAACAAATAAGATCTTTTAGAGAAAAGTTGGGTGGATGTACTTTCTTATAAATAGCTTATAAGCTCATTAACAGCTTTTCTTTTAAAATTAAGAACTTTTTTTGAAAATTTTGTCAAACAAATTTTAGGAGCTTATAAGCTGTTTTGAAAAGAAAAAAAATGCATGAACTAGTAATACACAATTAGCTTGCATGGTGAAGAAGAAACAAAAAGAAGGAAACACTATAATTCAGAATACCTTTATTGATCTATTGATGGAAGCAAGTCGAACGCAACTATTGTACGAATTAAATATTTGGATCGATCATAGAACATAAATATATAATAGAGTTTTCGTTAGTTTGGGTTTCACTTATACGTTTTTCCGTAGCTCCCGAGCGGAGTACAGAACAGCAATGGCAGCCACAGCTCCTGCACCCACAACTGTAACTAACTGCAGACGACGATTCTTTACAGAGAGAGTACTGCATACATATTCCCACATCCATCTCGAAAAGAAATTCAGCTTACAACTCGATTCGAATCTCTGCATCGAGAATTCCTGGACATGACAAAAAAGGGAATTTTCAAGAATATTCAACTCGATTCATATTTATGTTCAAATAATATTCGAGAAAAACCTCACGCTCATATTTTTACAACGCTTCCTGTGAATTCAGCTATACTTCTGTTGAAATTTTCTAGTGAGAAATCCTGCATGTAATTTCAGAGCAAATTTTCGTGACTAATTCGATAAGTCCGTTCCAATTTATATAATTTATATTTCAAACTTTATGCCATGTTACATACACACAACAAAATAAGCATCATTCACTAGTTCAATTATCTTTTTTTTTTTTAAATAAAGAACAGAAAAGCTAGTGCTTATTCATTAAATGTTAAATTAATCGTCAAGTATTTATTTTTATTTTACGAGATGAAGGGTAATAATGGAAATTTTTACCTTGGGTAGTTTATTCTGCTGCGCAAGGTGATCCACATGGAGTCTCACGTTCGATGCAGCAGTGATCCATAGACTGCGATCCACGTCAGCATACGTATACGCTACAATTTCGAACAGTGTTTTGGCTCCATTTTCTTGTATGGCTTTCAAGATGGTCGATTCTCTATTTCTACGGTTTCTGAAAATTTCGGTAAGGTATGTTATCAT